AAAAAAAAATGCTATTTCAAGCAATAATCATCATCGTAAAGGAAAAATTAGATTGTACAGTTTGCTATAAAGTCAGGCATTTTTTGCGATACATTTAAGGAGTCACTCGGTAATATAAAAAGCTTAGTATGTATCAGAGTCAGATTCTAGTGACATTAAGCTGCGAGTTTCTCTGTCCAACTGTGTCTTCCAATAATATGTAAGAAATGCATTGTATACGACCCAAAATAACTTCAAACCTCAAGAGAATTTCTTTTAGAGGATTTCTCACAGAAAATTTTCACATCCCACAAAATTTTTACATTTTCATTGTAGTGTTTGGAAGTAATCCTCACTGACACAATTCGCAACAGGATACGATTGTATTAAATTGAGTTAGCAAGTATTATCTTTAAGCGTTTGTAAGAACATATTAATGCGCTTGATTCTTTCAATGTTTCCAATACTATCTGCTCAAAAACGCCGAGAAAAAAAGAATTCGTTTTATTCTAAAATTCGGGCTAAACTAAGGTCACCTAGAAACTAACTGCTGGCTTTCATTGAGAATCTATCTAGCACAATCTCTTGCTTTTTAGAGCGAATCGTGCTAATTTTGGAATCTTTTTTTTTTTGTAACAAATGAAGGCTATGTAGAGCAATAGAAGAAAGTCTTCTTTTGGGCCTGAGAAGAAAATTCATAGCGCAAGCTATTCAGTTCAATTTTTAGTAATCTTCCAACAACGGAACTGGCTGACGCAATGCAAATGCCCAGCTGTGAGTATTCGGTACGCCGCGATTCTCCGAATGGGCCTACATTAACATTTGCCAATGTTGGAGATACGGTAGATATTAGAAACTTCATAGCCTCCTTTTATTTGCTCATTAAAATGTACTACGCAGGTGTACCACGTTTGGGAGTGTAACCCTACCGATATGGGTATGCTTGTGAAAAAATGCTTCGTCACGGATGGAGATGGAGAAGACCATGCGGTTATTGACTATGACGGGTAATAACCATATATTGTCAAAACACAATTATATGAGTATCTTATGCAAACTTGCTCCAGATGCTCTACCGATGCGTCCTTGCTCAGCGAACTTGCATACGACCAGAATTTGATGAGAGCACATGCAACAAGTCAGGTGAGAGCTCTTCGGCGAAAAACCAATTTCTCGCTTGCAAGAAAAAATTTTGAAAGCTTCCCTTATGCCTAGAAAGGAACGTAACACAAAAACTGATTAATGTTAGTCGTTTCCTAAAATTTGGAAGAGCTTTTGAAGAAAATATCAATAAATTTTCCAAAACTTTCTTGTAAGAACCTTTGTAAATTACATACTTCAACCCTGATTAAACTTCAAATTTCAGGGAAATATTTTTTAGCTTTTGATATGGCGA